ATTTGTGGCATGATAGATTAGGACACGTTAACTATGATACTTTACGAAGACTAGTTAACTCTAAATGCATACCTAAATTCAGTAACGATTCCAAACATAAGTGTGAAACTTGTGTTGAAACAAAATTGACAAGGTCGTCGTTTAAATCAATTGAACGGAACACAGAACCACTAGATTTAGTTCACAGTGACGTGTGTGATCTAAAACTTGTACAAACAAGAGGTGGCAACAAGTATTTTATTACTTTTGTTGACGATAGCACAAAATACTGCTATGTATATCTACTTAAAAGTAAGGATGAAGCTATAGAGAAATTTATTCTCTATAAGAATGAAATAGAGAATAAATTTAATAAGAAAATTAAGGTGCTGCGAAGTGATCGAGGTGATGAGTATGAAGCACCATTTGCTGAATTCTATGTACAACACGGAATCATATATGAAACCACTGCCCCTTATTCACCGCAACAAAATAGTGTTGCTGAACGAAAAAATCGTACCTTAAAAGAGATGATGAATGCAATGCTCGTAGGTTCTGGGTTATCTCAGAACATGTGCGGAAAGCTGTGCTATCAGCAAATTACCTTTTAAATAAGGTGCCCCGAAATAAATCGGAAAAGACCCCATATGAGTTATGGAAAGGAAGAATGTCTACCTATAAACACTTGCGAGTGTGAGGGTGTCTTGCTAAAGTGGCTGTTCCACCACCAAAGAAGGTAAGTATAGGCCCGAAAACTATAGACTGTGTCTTCATTGGCTATTCACATAATAGCAGTGCGTATCGCTTTCTTGTGTATGATTCAAAAATTTCAGACATACACAAAAACACAATAATGGAATCAAGGAATGCTACATTCTTTGAAGAAGTATTTCCATACAGATCCAAAGAGGAAGCAAGCTCCTCTAAACGAACATATGAGACAATGACTGAAAATAGTCAGAACGAAGAATTAGAATAGGAGACTGAAGTTAGACGCAGCAAATGGGAAAAGACGGAAAAATCTTATGGTCCTAGTTTTCTGACCTATATGATAGAAAGTGAATCTCAAAGTTATCAAGAAGCAGTGAATTCCTCGGAAGGACCTCAATGGAAAAAAGCCATTGAAAGTGAAATAGATTTCATACTACAAAATCATACATGGGAACTAGTGGATCTTCCTCCAGGAAGCAAACCATTAGGCTACAAATGGATTTTCAAAAGGAAAATGAAAGCAGATAGAACTATCGAGAAGTATAAGGTCAGATTAGTAATTAAAGGCTACAAATAAAGGGAAGGTCATGATTACTTTGATACGTATTCTCCAGTGACGAGAATAACATCTATTAGGATGATACTTGCGATTGCCGCTTTGCAAAATCTTGAAGTACATCAAATGGATGTTAAAACTGCCTTTCTAAATGGAAATTTAGAAGACGAAATTCACATGGAATAACCTGAGGGGTTTTCGTCACAGGACAGGAAAAAAAAATCTGTAAACTGGTGAAATTACTATATGGCTTGAAACAAGCACCAAAACAATGACATGAAAATTTTGAAATGTCATAATTGAGAGTGGATTTAAAATCAATGAATGTGACAAATATGTTTACGTCAAAGACACTAAAGATGGATATGTCATCTTATATCTTTACGTTGACGACATGCTTATTGTTGGTAGTGACAATAAGATGATTGAATCCACTAAAAATATGTTAAACTCGAGATTTGGCATGAAAGATATGGGTTTAGTTGATGCTATACTTGGAGTGAAAATCTCAAGAACATCAAATGGGCTTGTTCTAAGTCAGTCACATTATGTGGACAAAATTTTAGGAAAATTCCATAAGGATGATACTGGCTTGACTAGAACACCAATAGATACGAGTCAACATCTGTCTAAAAATAGAGGAGAAAGTATCTCTCAAATAGAATACTCGAGAGTTATCGGAAGTCTAATGTACTTAATGAGTTGTACTAGACCAGATATAGCCTACACAGTTAGTAAACTGAGTAGATACACGAGTAATCCAGGAGCTGATCACTGAAAAGGAATTGTAAGAGTACTAAGGTACTTAAGATATACTCGTGACTATGGACTACATTATACTAGATATCCAGCAGTCATTGAAGGATACAGTGATGCTAATTGGATATCTAATATAAAAGACTCAAAATCCACCAATGGATATGTGTTCACATTGGGTGGTGCTGCCATATCGTGGAAATCCTCTAAGCAAACGGTTATAGTCAGATCTACAATGGAATCTGAGTTTATAGCTCTAGATAAATGTGGTGAAAAGGTTGAATGGTTGTGCAACTTCTTAGAGGATATTCCAGGATGGTCAAAACCTGTGCCAACAATTTGCATATATTGTGACAGTCAATCAGCAATAGGAAGGGCACAGAGTAACATATATAATGGTAAGTCTAGACATATACGTCGTAGACACAATACCATAAGACAACTACTCTCAACTGGAGTTATCACTATTGACTATATAAGGTCAAAAGATAACATTGCGGATCCGCTAACCAAATGGTTAAATAGAGAGTTAGTTATGAAATCATCGAAAGGAATGAGACTTAAGCCCTTGAAAGAATAAGTCATTACAAAGGAAAACCCAACCTAATTGACTGGAGATCCCAAGATCTAGGTTCAATGGGAAAACCTAACTGTAAAGACTTGATAAAATCACTGTGGGGGTATTACTTTCTGTCCATTCCTATGATGTAACAGTGATGCCCGTAAGGTTGAAGGTTAAGCAATAGGATTTTAATGATTTTTATGCGTCGTAAATCGAGCCAAGTAATGCGGGTTACTTATAATAAGAAATCACCTATGTGAGAGAGAAGTGGGGCCGCTTCTAAGGGAATTGTGTGGGGCTCAATTCTTAAGAACTCTCACAGAATCAGACATATGTTCATGAACAAAACGAACATAACAATGAGAATTGGATTATGTTAGGAAGAATCATGTGTGAGGTATATCATCGTTTACACAAACGGCAGAACAGTTCAAGGATATCGCGTCTACTGGTCAGACAGTAAAGTAAATATGCTTTCATAAGGGAAGGTTCAAAGGGTAACACCTACCTATCCTATGCAGGATTCAACCGCTGAACTTTATCACCAAGTCTTGTGTCCCACGTTTTGTGTCTCTCCCAATTTTCATTCATGTGGGGGATTGTTGGAAAAAATTGAGTGAGCGGCTCAACTTTGACACAATTTTCGATGGGACCCATTAGTCTAATGTGGAATATCAAAGTTGATATGTGTTCTCCTCCGCGAGAACATCGATTTCATGTATTTATTTGTCAAAAATGAAGCTCAGGTGAATGAGAAATTGAAGCTCAAAGTTGGTCATTGGAAGTTGGTTTTGTGGGAAAAAATGCATTTATCCCACATAGGAAAACCGAGTAAACTTAAACCACTTTTTATATGGCTATACTTTGGAGATGTGTAATTATGTGTAGCATAGAGGCTCTCTCCACGTGCGTGCGCAGGGGGAGCCAATAACGAATCGAAATGGCTTTTGGACCTTGAACTTAGGTGCTGGCGCGACCTGCGCACACGAATGTCGGACCGAACAAGGCAAAAATGGCCCCATCGGTGAGCCCACGTTTTACCAATTTTTTTTGACTTTCTCCAATGACTTTTGAGTTTCTAAACTGAAAAAACTCCAATGGACTCCCAATGGTCACAGTGTCAATGGGAAGTAACTCCAATGAACTCCCAATGGTCACAATATTAATGAGCAGTATGCCTATAAAAAGACTCATTCTCCAGCAATCTAACACACTCGAAAATCTCACCTACATTTTTGCATACACAGTTTCTTCTTTTCTGCATCCTTGTCCAGTAAGGTCTTGTGGTGATAATGTTCGGATACTAGATTAGTTCGCGGGAGTAGGACCACGGTGCTCGGATTTTGCTTATTACCGTTGTATCCTGGGAGACAGCCGCTCGAACTGAACCTCGAACACCTATGGTGAGAGGGCGAAACTGTTTTAAGAAAACTGTGAACACACAGGCCTTGGTTTGAAATCTGCTGCAGTTTGTGTTTTCATTCTAAATATTATTTTGCATTACTATTTAATTCATGCAGTTTATAATTCCATAGTGTACAGCTTCCAAATTCATCGTTTACAGTTTTAGCCTACAGTTAACTTATATTTCTGATTTTGTGTTGCTAAACAATTTTTTCAGCTGTTGGAAAGTTCTGAAACGGAATTTTTTTGATAATTTGAAATCATTTACCTTGTAGTTATTAATTCCAATAGTCGGCTATTGCAATTGAATAAAACTTATACAATTAGTTTCATCCATTAGCGACTTGTTTTCTTACAAAAAGTTCCGAGCCAAAGTTGGATCCCTTTCTTTGGGTCACGAAGCTCAACTGTCCATTTACCCCATGGGCGTTGTCGGATCCCTCTATACTTATTCTTCCTCTTTCTCTTCGAAGATTTCTCAGCATCATCATTGTCTTCAGAATGTTCTATGGACTTGGAACCTTCAAGGGAAGAAGGAAACAAGATTTTAGAACATAGAGGCACCACAAAAATGCATTGACAGCAGATCAGTTAAAATACATCATTAAAATGCAACAAGAGTTTTCGGTTTATCCAACCCTTGGAAGCTTTCTCTACCCATAAGCAAACATATATAACGAATTTATCTCACGCCTTGTTGGCAGCCGTAGTGTGGTGGTTCAATTCTTAAGACATGAAATTGGACTCTTTGTAGACGCAGTGTACAAGCAGCTCTTGGTCCCTAGCTTATTGGGGCACATTTTGAGATTTACTTCCCTCACAAAACTTTAGGGCCGAGCAGTGAGGGCTCTCAAATTTTGGGTTCAACCTTTAGATAATGAATTCAAAAACCGTTTGAACAGATTGGACTCTATATCAGATAGTCCCAGACTGCTGATTTTATAAACAAAATCTACAGCATAAGGAAATATTCGTGTCTAGAGGTAACTTCATGANGGGGGGGGGGGGGGGGGGGGGGGGGGGGGGAATATAGATACAAACTTCTGCAAGTGCACTCACATGCATATATAGAAAAGTAGGCCACAATCACTAAATTGCAAAGCAAACATGTCTGTGCAAATCAAGGATTCAAGTCGCTGCAATGCCAACTAAATACGTCATAAGTAAAGCTGGATGAGCTCGTCGCTTACTACAGATGGTGACAGAACACCCAAATCCGTGAAAAGGAAGGTAAGATACTGAGGAGGTGTATAATCCCGGGCAGATGTCTCAACCTCAACCTTGGATGGAATCGGTACCCCAAAATCAATTGGATGCAAGGCCGGAACCATGTCCTTTTGGTCCAATGGATAGAGACGAGCAAACTGCAAAGACGAACATCAAATTGTAAATTGCTAAGGACTAAGGCAAAAGGGATTTATATCTACTGTAATTCCATCAGGAGTTTGTGGCTCAAAAATGATGAAAGACGACATAGCGATGGAAACCTTGAGGGTCATTTACCATCTTCTTTTTAGAATCTAGATGGCTCATTCTAATACAAGACAAAAGATAGCATTCTCCAAATACCTTGTAGCTTTCAGCAGCAACATAAACTGGTTTATTCATGCTCTTAGCAACCAATGCAATTTGGTAAGTCCCCATCATATTTATTATACCTCCGCTTTCCACCACTCCATCTGCTCCGACAAACACCATGTCAACTTCATCCATGCTATATGCCACCGCAGAGTCTATCAAGAGCTTAACAGGAACATCAAGCTTGGCCAGCTCATTGGACAGTCTTAACCCTGTCCTGTCTGGTCTTCCCTCTGCATTCAGGAAAACCTAATATCAAACTTTATACTTTTTATTTGAAAACAAACTAAAGCTCCATCTTCATAATGATGAACTTGCCTATCAGCACTAACTGAAAGTAGTGGGAAATCTTTCCAGTGGACAAGAGTGTCGCATGCCTTTCCCATTTATTTCAAGAGTGAACGCCGCCCACCCCCTCCAAGACCCTAAATAGCATATATTTTATAACTGCAGAGCAATTTTAGAATACAACCTGTGCAGAGAACTCGAAAAAGTTTCCTATTTTGTGCTGCTGTCCTCAAAACTTCCAACACCACACGAGAGAAACCATGTACCAGAATTGTACAGCCATCAAAAATAAATTCTTGACTGAGCATTGCAATTATCTTGCGAGCCTGCAATATTCAACAGCTTTCTGGGTTAAAGAAATTTCAGATTCACAGTGAATGTAAATTGGTCAGAAGACTGATAGTTGCTTGAAAATTGATAATTAGCTTGCGAATGGGATACCTTGTACGATATCTCACCAAACCTCTCTGCACGTTCAAGAAGGCGGGACTTTGCTGAATTGAAGTCCTCATGTTCCAAAGCTGAAGTTCTTGTTACATATCGCATAAACAGATCACAGCCAGCCGTTAAAGAGATAGAGGTGGCGTCCCATGACTGAAGCAAAAACACAGATATTAGCAACATTAGATCGTCCGATGTACTTCAAAATTCTTCTACAAATCATTTGCACAATGTCAGCAATTGCCCTATCACTAATCTTACTGATCATGTTCAGTTGTTACTGAAGAAAATCAAAAAAACCTTGCAAAATATGAATATAACCTACTCTCAATTGCTTCAGAGTGTAAGATTTGAATGCATACATGCACATAAAGTACATGTACACAACATATAAAATCATAGCATAACTTTTCCAAGTAAAATAATGCAAAGCAATTTTGGGGGAAAAAAAATTTACAGATAAAAGCGAAAAAAAAAAAAAAATATGTAGTGGTCTAAGAAATAGACCGTCACTCAGCTAGGCCTACAAATGCTTCTTACAGCATGTGCATTGAATCCTATCATT